ACTTTGATTAATTGCAACTCAAGTCCCTGAACTATTGGACATTTGACACTTTGGTCCTTGACCTTACAATTATGACATTTTAATCCTTGACTTTACAATTATTACATTTTGGTCCTTGGTCACAGATTTGCCAATTACATATTTCCTAACAAACTCCCCCTTTGGCATTCTGTGACAAAAACACATTTGATAGTCAAGGATGAAAATACATTGACTCCAACCTATCTACTATCTCTGCAATATCTTGTTGATCCTGTTTCCTGAAAAGGCAAAACTCAAAATACCATGTGAAAACGCAAGTGAAATGGGAACAGTAGTCAGAGACAAGATATACATTATATATATCATTAACCAGATTAAGAAGCAATCACAATGTATGTTTCAAACACCAATAACAAACATTAAGATTGCAAAAACATCAAAAACTTAATCTAGTTAGAACATTGAATATATACTCATCAAGTTCTCATCAAGTTATCAAAAATTAATTTACTCCAACCTACTCAAGTCAAATCAATCTAACTACGCTCAAATTACTCCCCCTTTTTGTCACAAAGGGCCAAAGAGCGCCAAAAAAATCACAAGAAAAATAAGCTAAGAAGCAGCATCCGCAGCATCTGAAGAATCAGAGCTACTCTCAGCACTCGTGCTGGCCTCCAAATGATCTCGAATCCAGCGCAGCTGACGCTGACAAACAGCAAGAGCACGGTGAAACGAAGTCATCTCAGCTGTCTGACGCTCCGAAGCAGCACGTAACTGCGTGATCTCAGCCAATATATGAGCCTGCTGCTCGATCAATGTAGTCATCGGACCCAAAAGAGGCACCAAGGGGTCAACTGGCAATGTAGCCACCCCAGGGACTGAAGTAGAAGCAGAGGGACCGGAAGAGCGGATCGGAATAGTAAGAGGAGGAGTGGAACGAGACGGAAGACAGACTCGAGAACCCCCAGTAAGAATATCAAATATAGGATCAAGGGGCTCGGAGGAATCAAAAACACCAAAAACTGCATCCGCAGTAGGAGCAGGAGCAGAAGAAGAAGAAGCGGGAATATGAGAGCGACTCTGATGTATAGTCTGCTGTCCAATGCGTCGAGTCGAGCTCTCAGTCGAGCTCTCAGGAAAAGAAGCACCTAAGGCTAAGACTACCCGATGAATCAAACAAGCATATGGTAACCCAATCCGACCCCCAGGAGTACGAAAAGAAGCCAGAATCTGCTGGCAAATAAAACTAGGGAGGTCAATCGAATCCCCGCGAAGTAATGCATATAAAAATCGGGCCCGTCCCATAGGTAAAGAAGAAGTATGGGCAACAGGCCAAAGGTTCGTGCACACAATGCGCAACAGAACCTGGCGATCAGTGGGTAAAGACCCAGTGGCCATCGCCGTAGGCCCCCCGACAGACGGAGTGTTCAAAATCGTCGACCGAACAAGGGAGTCGGCCGGAACAGAAGAGGGTAAAATATAGGGGTATGTAGGATGGGTAATCTCAGGAATACCTAAAACCCTAGCTAAGGCAGAAGGAGTAACCCTAAAAGTATGACCCCGTAGAAAAGACCGAAACGAGGACCCATCAGTCATGGATGTTAGCATAGAATTCTTGGACAAGGAGAGGGGGTGGAGGAGAGAGACCAACAAGTAAAGGCTCCCAACC